CTTGCGTTTTCTCGAAAATAGTATGTTTTTGGGATTAAAAACGCAGGATCCGATAGTTCCGAGGGAACTATCCGGGTCTTGCTGTAAGCATGAAAATCTTCAAGGTTCAATTTTTTCCGTTTCGATCTACAGACCTACCACCGTTCCAGTATTGAAGCATAGCAAAATGTTTGTATCGACTTTATTTATTTTAGAAAGAAAAACAAAAGTGGAGAATACGATTCGCTAACCCCCCGTGAAATTCTGAATCCAACGGTACCCCATTCATGGTATTTGAGCATTACAGGAGCTTATATTTGGTAGAAAACCGATTTCGAGCCTTACTGTAATAATATATGTGGGGATGGGGATTATTCTTCGATTTCAATTTGAACATTCTTAGATAAAATCATGAGGAACAGTTCTAGTAACCTATAAAGCAAAATTGACTTTTTCTCCTCTTTCTGAAAATGACAGATGTCCCTCTTTGATATAAAATGAAGCCACTCAACTATTCAATTATAAGGATATAGCATTAACAAATTCCTTTAATGTAATGTCCAATTATATAACTGATTTATAACCTAAATATTAAGATCGCCATTAACAACGTAACCGACTACATAAGGGAACATTAGTAAAAAATCTGGTGCGCGCAACACACAACTTTCACTTACCGCTCAACTTTGAATAGAAATTATTTTCTGGCCATGTTGGGCCAATAAAATTTTTTAATTGCTTTCTTAACCGAGCTAAAGCTAACTTATAAATAAATTATAAATACCATTAAAATAACAAAAGACCTATTTATTATATCACCAATTGATTATAGATTGTACGATCTGTAGATTATGGATTGTATGATCCATTGATTATGGATTGTACGACTATTAGTTACTAAACTGTTATTTTACACTGCAAAGTTTACTAAAATGGAATTAAAAGATTTGCATTGTCTGTCATAGACAGCTCAAAAGTTGTCACACTAATTTTAAATAGATACTATTGGAATATGACAAAGCAAAAATTCATCAAATTATTCACTAATTTAAATTTCTAAAAGGTTACATGATCATTTTTCGGAATCAACGGACGATAGATACTTTTTATTTACTTTTTTTCAGAATATATTTATCATTTACTAGAGAAAAGAAATGGGAATATTTCACTTACCGTTCTACAAATTTTGGATAATTCCTTTAAAACATACTCATCCGCTTGGATCCAGATAAATGTTGAATAGTTCTGCACCGCAAGGCCTAGGAAGATCTGTAACAGACCAAGAGAGTTAAAATGGTAGAAGCTATTTTTTTTATTTCATAGAACCGGCAGAGGTTATAAAATGAGTCATGCTACTATATATGTATAATTATGTTGATTCTATCAGATAAAATAAATTATTTTATACAATTTTGCTGAAATAAGTTTATTTTAAAATTGTTGTTTGATAAATATAGAGCAGCAGGTTTTTTATTTGTCTACCTCTTGTAGGTAAGGAGAGTATTGCGATCAGGTCAAATTTCCAACGTGTCAAATTTTCGACGGATATTTACGTTTCAGTGCTCCCTGAATCCGAAAAACACATTGCAGCCATTGGTCTGTCTGTGCCAAGATTATCTCGGAAACTAGTTGATTGATTTCTTCTTTTTTTATTTTGTAGGGTTTCGACACAATTTGTAGGGATGCCTGTGGCACAAATTGGGTGCTCCCTGCGCAATAAGTAAAAAACATATTGTTTTATAGACTGTAGAGCAAAAACGGCTCTAGCAATTTTGATGAAGCTTTCCTATAATTTTTTAATCAATGTCCTTTTTTTTTAACATACACTAAATTTTAAACTTTTGAAAGGTAAAGAAACTTTCTATTAAACTATTTAAAAATCGTTCATTTCGGACAACTATTTACGAAGTTTCAGCTCTTTTAATCTCATTCGTATGTATTGCTGCAGCGCGCTCTGTGACAAATCCTCGTACTCGAACCTCGCTTACTCATTCATAACTCGTAAGCCCAGTGCTATTGTTTTTTTGTAGTAAAATTAGATCAGATTTTTTTTTTTTTATCTCTATTCATATATTTTAAAGCCTTTTTACATTACTTTTTTTTTTTTTAAGTTAATGGGTCAAGAAGTAAAATTAGCTTAAAAAAATACTTTTTTTTTCATTATTTAAGATGGATTCGTTATGAATACTAGTTGATTTTTCAATTAATTACTTTACTCGATTAAATAATGTTTTTAATTATCACGGTAACAATTTTTTTTTAAATTTAATTTATCTAGAATATATTTGCAATTGCAATTTTATGAAGGAAATGATAATTACGAAGGAGATAATGGATATACTGTCTCATATTTTATTTTATGCTCGATAAAAATAACGGTAAAAATTTCTTTTTAATTTTCTTTTACAGCATATTTTAAAAATATATATTTACAAAATAGTTTTATGAAGAAAATAATGGATATAGTTTGTTAAATTTTATTTTATATTCGATAAAAATCTAATTTTTTTTTAAATTTTGTTTTCTAGAAAATTAAAAAAAAATATATATCTATACTATCATGATTTTATGAAGGAAATAATAATTATACTCTAGTTAAAGAAGATATAATTGCAATTTATTTGTCTAGAAAGCCATAGAAGTTCAGTATTTCATATCATATCAATATAAATAATAATACAGTAAAAATAATTGTAAAAAAATTCTAAACTTCATTCATAAAAATATGACTTTGCATACATCAGCAAAAATTATGTACGAGGTACGAGGCTGGTATGTACCGTATGTAAGATTTCGAGTTCAAATCCCGGTAACAGAAAAGAATGAAAAGTTGAGAAAAAAAAAGAAAAGTAAGTAAAAATAAAGACATCTGGTGCGACGTATGGTTTACTTTCCTCTCAAATTTTAACAGAAATTATGGTCGGGCGAAATAGGGCTACTGCAAAAAAGTTTTTGATGACAAAGTTAGAGTGTATTGATTTTTTTATGCTGATCTTCCACAAGCCAGTTTACAATGCTTTAGTTAATCAAAAAAATCGTACTCAAATCTTATCTTCGGTAAATTTTCAGGAAAATAAATCTAGTTAATTTTTTTTTTTTTGGCTTAAAGGACATATTTAAAGATGTAAAAACTCTTCTGAAATCGGTAGGAAAGTCGTGTGAGTGGACACCAATTTTTTTTTTTCTGTTGTCATTAAAGACCTTGTAGATCTTTTGCCGCCTTAGCAACGCTACTCCATCTCTGCCTATATTGGGCTATTTATTTCCATTTATCTGCACACAGCTCTGTAGCATCTTTGTTGATTCGATCTATCCATCTGCTTTGTGGTCTTCCATGTGGTCTTTCGTCTACTGTTGAGGCATTAATTTAGGTATAGAGGCTTCCAGGTGGATGCAGCTCTGGTCAATCCATCTGGAAGACCAGCAAATAACAGGGCCAAATAGAACTTCTCCCTTCCTTCGGTATTGAAATCCCGAGACACCTTCATGATTTTCAAATAGTTTCAATACAGGATGTGCAATGGTTTTGATTATGCAAGTATTTATACTATATTTGGCTGCGACCTGAGATCACGAGAAATCCTCGGGAAACCCAGCTTCTTTAAAGTGAACACTCTTAATTAAATAATTAATTTGAGAAAACATCTGGTGGTGATTTTGGCCCAATCATCTTCCTGCATAACCGTTGGTCATGATAAAATGCTCGTAGGTGCAGAACCAAATATCTTTCATAGATTTACTATTTAATTTTCTTCTTTTTTCTGTAGCTGCGAAATCTGGTCTCTAACCAGTTCCCTAGAAAGATCGAAGTGATCATAATAACTCAGTGATCTCTCAGAAGAGCAACTAGATAAGATGAGGAAGTTAGGCGAGTTCAACAATAAACTGAATTGACAATATCTCGTTTGGATCGAAAAGTCGGTCTACTGTCCTTTGCTCCTTAAAGAGACAGAAATACTTTATTAAAAGTAATGCTACTCTACTACATAGGATTGCTACATACACAGCATACTTATCAATCCATACGGACATTACTATTATATTACATATCTTTCCTTTCTTTTTTTTTTCTCCCTTTTCATAGCAATACTGCTTCAAATTATCAGCAATAAACCATATTAAACAATATACATACCATAATAAACATTTCCCCAAGATAATTTTTTTTTTTTTTTCAAACGCCAGGAACTCAATACAACATCGCACACATATATAACACAGCAATTCCTCCAAAGTAGACAAAAAGATAAGACGATTATAGATCAATTTAAAATTTAATAAATAATCAATACAAGACGGCCTCTATCAGTATATAGATGATAGTGGATGATTCTCGGGGAGTCCAAAATAATATTTTCGGCCGATATCGCTAGCTCCCCAACATCAGCACCTAGTTCCTAGAGGAAGCACCTTGTTCTTTCCGGGATCGTTCCGCGAGACCCAAACCAGAGTGACTTCCAAACCTCTCACAGTGAACTCTCTCTCTATCCGAAGGTCTCGCGGAATTTCTCTTTTAGGAAAGGGATGCATTTCTCGTATATATTCCTCTTTTCCCTTTCCACTTCACACGCCTGATCGAGGTCGTTGCCCTCAAAGCGGACAGTTGGATCCAAGATCAGCGCTGTCCCTCCTGTTCTGGGAAACGCGACAATATCCGCATACCTTGTTGAGCCTTCACTGTCTATGCAATAGACCTCGTTAAAGCAGGTTAATTTTACTCTATGGTGCCGAGGAGGGAATTGTTGGGGCATTTTCCCAGCACATGGGTTGGTGTTTCCGACTCTCTGCCGCGAACTATTATAACTAAATTGATTTATAGAGAATTTATAATAAGCTACATGAAATTCTGTGTTCGATTCAGTAGGCATAATGAATAAAAACATATTTGCAATTGATATTTCAGGTAACACAATACGGTTCGCTCTTGGTTCAGAATTACAGAAATCTTATAAAGTTAAAAAGTGTGCACTAATCCAGTTCAACACGCCAGAACAAATTATTACTATTCTAAGCCTACATAATTAATTAGAAGTGACACTTACCTGGACAACAAGGCATGGCAAGAATGGGAACTTGGCCAGCGACAGTGATATGACGTGTTGCGATAACAATGCCACTCCAAAGCTGAATGGAAGCATGACATGGCCAGGTGGCTTGCCACTCCTGCAATACTTGCAGCTCTGATAGGGATTGTACAAAGCGCAAACTAGCAAGCTGCAAATGGACCAGGCGAGGTTCAAATATCCGTAGGTATTGCTCTTGAGATCTCCCATTGACGCTGTGTTAATTTTGTCAATATCAGCTACGAATTTTGTAGAAAAAGGTTATAAATAACTGTAGAATTTAATTTAGTCAATTTTGGTTTAAAACATATGTTTTTGAAAGTAAATGCCTCAGATTTTCATTAAAATATTTACTTGGTGGTTCAGAGTAGGCTTACCCAAGTTGTTCAGTTAAGCAACAAACTAACTAGCTATCTAGAGATGGCGTTAAAATGTAGTTTAATAGTTTGAATTATTTTCATCAGTTTTCAACCATAAAAAAAAAGTTTTATATGTAATTAGTTTACGTTCTTAAAAAAAATGGAGAAAAATAATTCTGAAATAATTACTGAAAAAAAAAATTGTTAAAAAGAGATGATATCGAAAATGACGATTCAAAGAAATGCCATTATATTTGCAATAAGTTACTAAATTATCTGAAAAAAATCTGGAGCGCATATCATGCAACTTTCATTTACCTGTATACTTTGAATAGAAGTTATTTTCTGGCAATGATGGGCAATTTTAAAATTTTTAACGGAGCTATACCTTAAAGCTTACATCTAACAAGTCATCAAGACCACTAAAATAAGAAATATCCTATTAATTATACAAAGTAGACAATAAAAACCTCGGTACTCCATCTGTTTTTGTATACCACGTAACTCCAGTTTCTGAGCTATACATAGAGATTTGAAAGTATATCTCTGTATTCAACCTATAAACGAATATGGATTGTACGCTTACTAGTTATTAAACTGTTATTTTTCATTATAAAGTTTATTAAAATTAAATTACTAGATCTTCATTGCCTGCCATAGATAGGTCAAAAGTTGTCACAATAATTTTAAGTGGATAATGTAGGAATTTCACAAAGTGATAATTCTTCAAATTCTATTTATGATATAATTTTAAAATATAGGCTTAAGCACTAGCGGATCCAGGATTTAAATTTTGGGGGGCTTCAGCCCGAAACCTTTTTTTTCATAAAAATAACGATAATTACTTTGGAAAAACAGAAAGAAACTAACTACCTGTATGAAATGGTGTTTAAGTTATTCCTTAAGTACTTTTAAATGTAATTACACGAACAATAATACTTTAAGAGATATTTTTATTAATTTTTTTCCCCATAAAACATGGTTATATTTTTCCATTTTGGGGGGGCTTCAGCCCGAAAGTCCCCCTCTCCCCCGTAGATCCGCCCGTGGGCTTAAGAAATTATCCTGACGATATCGAATATATTGCAGAATTCCCAGAGAAACTTCAGCAAGTAGTAACGGAGTGGAATGAGGAACTGAAGAGAAATGGAATGACTATTAATTCCACAAAAAGTATTTTCTTCAAGTTGGCGGAACTCAAGAGGATGTCCATGTTACCTGTAGGGGAGAGTTTCATGGAGGACTTCAAGTATCTTGGTACGGTGATTGATAGATCTGGTAAAGTGGATTCGGAAATATCAAGCAGAATCTTCAATGCTAATTCGGTTTACTACCAGATCTGTTACTCGGTTATCGGAAAAAAGGGAATCTGGACAGAATGTCAAGTTCCACTAATTCAAGTCTGTCTTCTTACCAGTACTTCTCTACTGAGCGGAGAGCTGGATTACGAATGAGAGGCTATTAAGCCGTATTATTGTCTCAGAAATGAAGTTCCTTACAAGAATTGTGGAGGGACTATGGTTAAAAATTGTGCTTGTGTTGTGAATTTGATAAAGCCTGTCAAAAGATCATTTTTCCTATTTATTGCTAGTTATGTAATAAATATATGTTATATTAATAAAGATAGAAAATAAACAGCACGATTAATGTATTTATTATTAACTGCTCCATCATCATTTCTTCATTGAGTGCTGGACGCCATTTACCAACTTTAACCACGTTCTAATCTTCTTTGCGTGATGATGGTCTGAATCCTCTAAAATATTAAATAATAATAAGTAAATTTTAATTTTTTTTAATAATTAAGTTTAATATTAGCAATGGATTGGAAATTATTATCTAAACATAATTAGATAATTATTTTTGTTATTAATATTGAACAAACTTGTAACATAATCCATGTGGAGAATGGTGTATCGAAAAATATACTTATTATCTTTTTCAAATCGTAATATTGAGAAAAATATAGGAATTAGAGAGAGAAAAAAAAATCAAATCAATAAATATGATCCATGTTGGGAAATTTTGTTACTTTCAATCGTCCGAATTTAATACTTCAAAATGATATGTATTAAAATCACAAGAAATACTGTTGAATTATTATTTGAACTCAACACTTTTAGGTCGTTAACTCCAGAAAAGATAGATTCAAATTAAAGAATAAAATTGTTAAGAACTTATTTTTTTTTACATAACTTTAAATATTTCCAAAAAAAATTAGATATTTTATAAACTCGATACTTTTGGTTAATCAAAAGTTATTTTTTTAAATATTATAAAAAATATATCTATGTATATATGGTTGTGGGGTGGTATCAAGTGATAAGATTAACATTGAATGAACAGAAACGGGGTGAAGCCCCCAAAATGAATATTTTTTTTAATGATCCAAATTTGTTACAGTGAATGATCAAAGCTAAATACAAAAACAATCAAAATATGTCCTATTTTTAAAAATATAATACATATACAACAGCTACTAAACTTACCCACTCATTTATTCTTTTAAACAAATATCTGACAATTATCTCTACAAGTATGATTGTTCATGTAATTACTTATTTTTTTTTTTTAACATTAACATCATAAAGGCAGTTTATTTCCTCCTTTTTTTCCATAAGTAATTATCTTTTTTATTTATCGGAATACAGAGCAAGGGATGGACCACATGTATGTCATTTTTAGGCTTTTTTTTTGCCCAAATTGTTTTCATTTTTTCTCCCATGTCCCCTCTTTCTTTCCTCAGTCTATGTATTATAATTATTGTTATATCTATATATATATAAATGAATGTATGTCTGACCAGGGGTGCCCATCCCTCTCCCCCCCAAGGTCGATAGCACATGAACCTATGCCCTCCCTCTCCCAAGATATTTAATTGCTCATTTTTCTTTAAAACAGAGCTAGGGAAACTAGAATTAGAAAACTTGTAGATCATAAACAATTACACTTGCTGTGGTCTGTTCCATGTTTTATTCTTGTCTCTTACTCTGAAACTTTTCGCTCCGAAAATTCATAACCCAGTTAGATGTGCCCCCTCAAAAATTCAAAAACCCGCCAAAATATGCCTCCTCAAACTTTAGATGGCGCAACTTGCGCCATAAAACCTCCCTTCATGGGTCTGTCTGTTTGTCCTTTATGTATTACTAAATCATTCATCCGATCGCCATGAAACTTTGCGAAGTTGTTGCGTACACTCCCGCGACGGTTTCTGGCACAGCACTAAAATCCGACGATAATTTTATGTGTAAAAAAAAATGTAAAAATGTTTTTTTTGTTGAAAGCTGCTATTCTCTAAACGTTCTTCACCGATTGCTTTGATATTTTGACACAGCGTTGCAATCGAATCCAGAAGTGTTTTTTTGAACATTTCATTACTATACGGCCTTTCGTTTTGAAATGGCGGCAAAAAAACTTGTTGCTTTAAACTTTAGCGCCAAAACGGCTGTAACGATTTTAATGAACCTTGGCTAAACTCTTCCTCTTGAAACCCTTTTAATTTATTTATATAACATAATTTCTTGAAAACAAGCCACAACAAATGTTAGGATGAATTCAGAATTTTATTTGCGAAAAACTAAAAAAGAACACTTTTTCGATTGATAATACCCATATTTATTTGAAAGCTTCCTGAATTACCTACAAAATAAATTTTTTTTTTATCGAAATAGGACGATTCGTTGCAGAGTTATATAGTTTTAAACATTTACTACTTTCTCTTCAGCAAACGCGATTTCCTTTTTTTTTTTTTGTTATTGATAAATCGAAAATTTTATATTATTTCTTAAATACTTGATATGCTATTATTTAAAAATACTTAACTCTTGAGTAATAATTATCACCATTTATGTTCCTTTCAGAAATCAGTTTTTCATTGATTTCAGTTTATTTTATTTTTTAATATATTATTTTCTTTAACTTTACCTAGGAATAAGGCTGTTCTGTTTACCATAGGGTTTCTTTCATGAGTAAGGTTTATTTTTCCACTACGATTTTTATAACTCTATATTTAATCAAGTTGTTATTAAAAAGAAGCAAGCAATCAAATATCTTAGGAGGGGTATGAAAAATCTTTTGAGGGAGATGGAAGCCAGCTCTAATGCACACGAAATGAACACTATAATAAATGGTATAGCGCGATTTCAATGCATTGCCACGTTTTTAATAAATATGTATAGTTTCAACTTACATTTTATAATAGTAGGTATATTAAACTACGCGTGTATTTTACATGTAACGTTAAGCCAAAATTTCAAGGCGACGGGTGAAGAACTTTCCGAGATTTAAGAGTTTGAATAAAATAATCAACAAAAAGTTGAACATTAAAAATATAAAAAAATAATAGTAAAATTTTAGATGGAAATATATGAGTGGCTTCATATCAAAGATGGACGTCTGTCATTTTCAGAAAGCGGAGATAAAGTCAATGTTAGTTTTATAAGTTTAACTCAAGACTGTTTCTGATGATTAAGAATGATGGCATATTCACTTAGATGATTATGAATGTTCAAGTTGAATCATGAAAAAAAAAAATCATTAGAATTAGTTTAAATTGAAGCTATGTTACAGACAAATTTGTTTCTCAACTTTTAAAATGACGGATGTCCTTAGGTATTAATCCATTCATATGTGCTTTCTATTTTCTTTCTTTTCCATTTTTTGATACGAAGCCACAGCAGCGTGTGGCCGGGTAAAGCTAGTGTATATATAAGAAAGCTTTGAGGCTGAAGCTCCTCACAAAATTAAATCCTGGATCCGCTAATGGTCCAAATTGTTCCCAGACAGTAGTTAGTTGCCAAATATAATATTTTTTCTAAAGCATTCAGGTATCAAGTAAAGATTTTTTAAGAGAGAAACAAAGTTGGTATTCGTTTTTCAAA